ATTTTGCATTATTCATAAAAGAATTCTAGTTGAACTTAAGAGGTTGACGATTAGTATAGTTTTTGTAACATTAAAGTGTTTGATTTATATAAATGTAAATTATATGGAAGCAACATTTTCATGTAACCATAGACGTTAATGATTGAACTATGCTGCAACTTCATTACATAATTTTTAGACCTTTGGTGGCCCAGGGAATAAAATAACTTTGTAGGCATTACATGTATATGTAAGATACACATACACACAGAAGTGAAAGTTTTTATGTAATATATTCTTTGATTGCAATTTACCATTTGTGACCTAATGGACTCGAAACCCATGTCATATATTATGCAAAACTATTACGCAATTTTAAATGCCCATATACTGAGTAGATGTTCACTACCTGTATCCCATTAACTAATTTAGTTAAGTTGATTCAGAATATAAGCAAACGTTAATTGAGGATTTATATTCTCAATCACAGTTTAACCTGAGAATGATAATTCTTGGTCAAAACCTGACCAAGAACTATCTCGCAAGTATCATTTTTTAGTAAAAAATAACACATCGCAATCAGTTCAACCAATTTGTAGTTACAATGATATTTATATGGAGGAAGACACACACTGCCCCATGTAGGAAGGTGGCTAGGTGTGGGCCAAAGTTGGCTTGTCAGTCATGAGCTCTGGGACAAAGTTGAATTACAATTCTGGGCCAGATATGGTTGAACTACCGAAAGATAAGATCGAGCCTGGCTTGGCATACAACCTTGGACCAACGATGAATCCAAAAGATGCCCCAGAGTTGGCCTAGAGACAACCCTTCTGCCAGGGAATAAAATTTGTAAATCACTACATAGTACTTATAAAACAAAGTCGCTTCCCGCTGTCTGTCCCTATGTATGCTTAAATCTTTAAAACTACGCAACGAATTTTGATGCGGTTTTTTTTTTAATAGATAAAGTGCTTCAAGAAGAATGTTTATATGTATATGCATAATATTGTAGAGAAACACTGATAATTTTAGAGGTTTCTAATGTGATGTAAATAAACACACCCTATGAGATAGATCAAAATCATGTACTACAATATTGTACACCTTAAAAAGGTCTACAAGAAAGTCCGGGATGGTATATGTCTATCTCTTAGGGACAATCCACAATAACCATTTTTTATCCTTTACTTTTTATGAGAAATAATATGAAGATTGGAAAAACTTTGGCGGTTGTTGTAGAACAAACAGAATAGCTCAAAACCGCAACTCCAAAACACGAAACTGTAGTTGTCCGAAACACTTTTCGGTAACAAAGTTACCTTCTTCAGGGACTGAAGTAAACTAAGAAACTTAGTTACTAATACTTAATACTAAGAAACTTAGTTTACTTCAGTCCCTGAAGAAGGTAACTTTGTTACCGAAAAGTGCTTCGGACAACTACAGTGTCGTGTTTTGGCGTTGGGGTTTTGAGCTATTCTGTTTGTTCTATGAGAAATAATGACTTATTTACGAAGCGATTTTAAGCAATACAGCATTAATTCTTATCCAATTGAGTACTTTTAAATACATTGTGCATTTAATATAGATCAATATGGCCCTTTACAGCATGTAATTTAAATGAATATTTTCGAAGATATTACAGATTTAAAGTGCAGGAACAATTATTTAAAATAACCAAGACTTATTTAAGTTTGAAATTAAGAGAATAATTGTTTATTATGAATTATAAAAGGACGAGTGCAACTTATTCCATAAACATTTATAATAATTCATCTCTATTTCTTTGCTGACCGCTCAGACCGCCGTCACGATCTGGAGCTCCGAAGATAAAATTGCTAATGATTGTAATTATTGATTTGGCCTGTTATGTCATAACTCAGATGTGAATTTGAATATTATTTTTCTAAATTAATAGATAGATTGTTATTAATTATTATCAATGATAATATTTATTAATCATTTTTCAATCCAGGTTCAATAATCTTTATTAATAAGAAAAATAATATAATTAAGATTGTTAAGGTAATTATTCATTTTCTTTCAAAATTAACTATTTGAACAATACTGTTATTGTTTCTTTACTTAATCAAAAATAAAATATTGATTAAAACATCTACTTAATCATTGTAGATATCACTTTTTAATTTAGGTAAGAAAATAAGTTCTCGGTCAACGTAAGTTGATCTGAAGTTGGGACAAGATTAATCCAACCGAAGGTAATATAGCCAACTTTGGTCGAGATCTGGGACAGAGAAAACTATCCATTCTTGGTAGATCAATTGTATGCTTAACTTGGTCCAACCTTGAATGAACTCCGTTCAATCAAGGTTGGGCAACCAATGTTGGGTCAAAGTTCACCCGATCGTTAACTCTGGCAGTTCCTAAATGGGGCAAGCCGCATTTTCATTGGAACGTAGAAATAGTTTCACTGTTTCTTTTCCAAAGTCGGAACTTAACCTATTGAATAAAATAATTCGAAGTGGTCTGTATTCTGTCGAAACTGCCAGACGCGGATCGCGATTTCGATCTGTTTGGATCTCATCAGCGCGTCGCAGACAGCTCAGACAGAACACAGACCAACCTTTACCTGCTGCCTTAACAGCGCGTTTTAGAAAATATCACAAATGGCGCGGAAAACGCCATCTGTAGTACGATGCTACATTTTAGGATTTCGTATGTTCCAACAAGGTCCATTTGTGGTATTTCCTTAACCTATTGAGTATAGTACGTTTCGATGTTTGCCTAAGGAGTTTTTGTCTAATTCTAGGAGAGGCTCAACTTATGTTAGATTAGGTTAGGTTGCATTAGGATTGGGTTATGTTAACTAGTTTTCTATTCAAATTTCGATTAGTCAAAAACAGAAATTAGAACTTATTTCTGAGTTTGCCGTCAAGTCATTCCGCGCAATAACTGCATATGCACTTTTGACTTTAACATATAGATTGTTCCTCAGTAAAGTAAAGTAATTGTTATAACGATAATAACATTTATTATTCAAATTAAGCTTTATTTAATTGTATGAAACAAAATCCAGTATTCGTTTATATTTGTCTTTTGTGGTTGAACATTCTTATTTTGTATTTTGGTTATTGCATTTATTTACTTAGGTTTAAAGTTTCCGTTTATGTTGATTTCTGCAGGTACCTAAATACTTTATATTGCAAGAATCATTAAATTCCCATTTAGGTTGTATTTCCCATATTTTCAAATGATTCACATTTCTATTATTGTCATCTGGCCTGCAGATTTGTGTTTATATTATTTTCGGGTCGTTGTTACCTATTTACGAAGACTTGTATATTTCTTTGTGTATTTATCAACCCCGCCTGTACAATGTAATGTTAATATAAGTACTTGACCACTAGCCGAAACAGTAGTTCTATACCATCTCTCAAACGATTTATTTTTGTTCTAATTCCTTTTCTTGTACACCGTAAATTAAGTAAACATTTAAGTTAGTTATAAAATTTTGAACTATCGAGTTTCAAACTGAAACTTGAAAGGGCTTTCAAAATAAATAATTTTGTGCCTAAAACAGTAATACGCTAACAATGGATTTTTAAATATAGCAAAGTAGATGGCTGAGGGAACGAATCACTTTGAGGTTGGATATAATTATTTTGTTATCAACACCAATGCGAAATTTGCATTTCCGGTAATGAAATGCTTTCGAGAAAAAATGCGAAGAATATAAAATTCGATGAGTGTACTTCTTCATATAATTTCGCCTTTATCATCAGCCGTCGTGTTCAACTATTCAAAGATCGCAACACAAATTTCGCGTAATACCTTTTTTGAGTTTCCCTGGACGCATTGTGTTCATTTCTCCAACTGCGACAATATGAATGAAGAACTTGAGAACCTCAGTGACGATAGTAACACAAATTTCACGTTTTGCCTATTTTGAGTTTCCCTGGATGGACTGTGTTCATTTCTGTAACTGTGACAAAATAAATGATGAACTTGAGAACCACAATGGCGAAGAAGTAGACCACAAGGCATTGGCTTCTTCAAACAGTTTCCTCGTTACCATGACGCGTCATGTTCAAATATTCAAAGATCGAAACACAGGTTTCGAGATCCGCCTTTTTTTCGTTTCTGTACATTTTTGCAGTTGTTGCGATGCGAATGATTCTGGCGAACTGAAGAAGCTCAATTGATTGAAAATTATGACAAAGCGTGTGCTTCTTCAAATAATTTACTTGTTATCACAACACGTCGTGTTCAAATATTCAAATATCGTAACACATATTTTACGTTGTGATCTTTTCGAGTTTTCCTAAACGGACTGCGTTCATTTTTATAACTGCTATAATACGAATTATTTTGTTTTGGTAAACTTGAGTAGCCTCAATAACGATTAAATAGACCAGAATACATTGTAACTCCACAAGTTCATCAACACAAAACAATTCATATCGTAGAAAAAAGGACAGAATAGGTTCAGCGAAACCCAAAAAGATTACAGAGGTTGTTGCGTTTTTTGAATATTTAAATATAACGAGTTTTAGTAAGAAGAAGCTTCAAACGCGTTGTGGTCTATTTCTTCGCCATTGAAACGCTTTCAATGATGGATTTAATTAAATGGAAAACTGTACATGGAGTAAATGCATGTCCAATGGTGGAAGAAATAATTACAGCGACAACAAGTGTAAACAATGACCTGTAAGTGTAGATACAAAGTACCTTTGTGTAAAAGTGTAGTATTTATGTGTACACGTAGGTATATGACAACGGAACACTTTTACTTTCGCAGTGAAGAGATTGTCAAGGTCCCGAAGCGTATGCACTTAACAACAATAGGAAGGTGATTAGTTATTAGTTATAAAATTTCCAATTTTGTGTAAGTCAAATGGAGCATGCTCATTAAGAGCGTTTGTGTTAGAAAACATTCGATTTTATTATAGTTAGAATTATAATCACCTGTAGTTAGTTAAATTTGGTACCACCGGTCATTAGTAAGTAGACAGAGGAACGCAGTCGGTGAGCGAAAGTTTAGATTTCTTGACCCAGTTGGTGAAGCAATTTACTCGTTGACGCCGAAGACAACAACAACTGAGCGCGAGAAAGAATGTCCGTTATCAATTTGTGATTATAGTGTGCTGTGACTAAATTTTTAAAAACCCAAGAACTTTTTTCGCTCGTTATGAGTATATAAACTTTACTTGTGTAGGTACTTTTAAAAGCATCTAGAATGATTTTTATGAGTAACCAGGTCATCTTCATTACTTTAGTGCAAATTTTGGGTAAGTTTTTTCGGTTTATATAAAGTTATATAGTAACTTACAGGAATTAATTGAACCTAATCGGTCTTTATCGATGTATACGTGTAATGAATTTATTACTGTCTGTTTAAAGCGGCAGCTTTTACTATTTGCTTTTACTATTCTGATGTGACCTTTAAGTGTTTTTATTAATTACAGTTTAACGTATTAAATATTAATTATAAATGAAACAGTTGGTTTCTCTTGCAACTTCCGGTTATTTGAATAGGAAAAAGCAAATGGTGATTTATCAGTATTTAATTAGTTAAAATAGTCCAATGTGTGCAAGTAATTACAACTCAAATACTTATTATTCTAAAGACATGAAAGTTTTAAGAAAATATGCCTTGGTAATTAGTTTAAAATATTTTTTGATGGAAATTTATTAATGAAGTTAATGTGTTTTCTTTAATGATTGAAATAAAACCTGCATTTGATAAACCACGTCTAAACTTTTTGATGGAAACCCTAACAAATAATAATACTTATTCAATGTTAATTTCAATAGAATTACAGTCAAAATCTGTTATAACGACACCGAAGGGACTACTCATATTTGGTCGTAAAAACCGATAGTCGTAATAGCCGGTGACATTATTATAAAGATAGGAGATGAAAAATTAGAAGAAGTGGCTGATTTTAAATACCTAGGAAGTCAGATAAGTGAGGATGGAAGGAGTAGTAGGGATATAAAGCAGAGGATAGCGCAGGGCCGTGTCGCCTTTAATAAAAAGAAGTCACTTATATGCTCGCGAACCGTTAATTTAGAAATTCGAAAAAGGTTGTTAAAGGTGTATGTTTGGAGCACGGCGTAGTACGGGTGCGAAACATGGACAGTGGGAGCGGCGGAAAAGAAAAGGTTAGAAGCGTTCGAAATGTGGTGTTATAGGCGGATGATGAGGATATCGTGGCTAGAAAAGGTTAGAAATGAAGAGGTATTGGAAAGAATAGGAGAACAGAGGACTCTATGGAAGACAATAAAAAATAGGCGAGATAGGTTGGGAGGACACCTTCTCAGGCATGAAGGTCTAGTCAGAGACATATTAGAGGCAGAAACAGGAGTTAGGAGGGGTAGAGGTAGACCTAGATTAGATTACTCTTCGCAAATAGTTAAGGATGTGGGCTGTTCTAGTTTTAGGGAAATGCGAATATTAGCTAAGTTTAGATCAGGATAGGAAAGAGTGGAGGTAAGTGTCCAACCAGTCTTAGGACTGACGACCTTATGATGATGAATACCTATTATTGAATGTGTGATTAATATATTCAAATATAAAATAAAACTACATTTTACTTATTTTACATAAAACGTATTATAAAAAGACATTACGTACATATAATTAGATATCATTTTTCTTTATTAATAAAACCTGGAATATTAGTCTGTTTGGAACACTTCTGTCGTGCATACAGACTTTGAAGTTCACGTTTAATTTTAATTAATGTATCATCATAATTTCCTTGCATATGAAACTGTTCATTAGAATAAAAAACAATTTTTCGTAATACACTGACAGCATTGAGACCATCATTCAAAGTTGGCACTGTAAATTGTTCTTCAGTCTCTTCCTGTTCGTCATTTTCCTCTTGAACTTCTTGTACAATATCATCTTCCCTATCTGGTTCACAAATAGCAATAAAGTTATCTACATCAATAAACTCCTTAGCTTCAGTAGCAGATATTCTGAGAATTACACTAGACCCTAAACTCGACACGATTTTGTTTACTTTTGCGATCTTAATGGTCATTTACTGTACCAGATGTGGATACTGTAACCTTTTCAAATGCTTACAATACAGCTGGTCGTTCTAACAGGTATAATTCTCCGAAAATATCAGTTAAATATAGTCGCTTAAAGATATATGTCGTAATAAGCAATGTCGTAAAAACCAGTGTTTTTTATAACAAGAATTAAGCCGGGACCTATGATTTTGGTCAATATAACCGGTATGTTGTTCTAAACGATGTCGTAGTTAACTGTATATTGAAAACACTTAACAACAACTGTTTTGCATTACTAAGACTTTATTAGAAGTATAACGACGTTATAATGTTATATTTTATACAATAGTAGCGAATTAATAACCTAGCATCAGGATATTCTATTGCATGCAAAGGGCGGCAAAAATTTGAAAAATACGGCGTATTTCGTATATATTCCTTCATTCATCTTTTCATGTATAAATAATAGAATAATGTAAGTCCAATAAGTCCAATTTATAGCTTTTGAGGGATGTTTCGTTTTGTTCAAACGATTTTATGACTTCGGTTAGTTTAGGGCAGTTTTCAGAAAAGCATGAGATGGGATCGATACAGACCTGGACCTAAAGGAAAGACAAACCATAAATTTCCACTCTCAAATTTACCTGCAGGTATGCCAAAAAAATTTACAATATTCCCGCCATATTTTATGGAAAACAGCAAAAAATGCAGTTAAGTTAAGGATCATAAAATTACGGAAGAAAAAGTCAACAAAGTCAAGGTAGTCATGTTATTTCGTTTGTTTACTGAAATGTAAGAAGAAATTGTCTGGCATCGTATCTCTGGAATAGGTTAATACTAAACCAATTGTACCTCATCAAATTGATACCTGCAGCATGTTTAAGTCCACTTTTGTCCTGACTGAGCTTGTATCCTTAAATCATTAAACATTAGAAGATCTTTTCAGATAGATGATTTAAAGCTATGATAGAGAGGGGACTCGTAACTGTTTGTGCAAAAGAGAAGTCAGTTTGACACCAGAGCAATCTGCTGATTAGCCTTACTAAAGTTTGTGTAAATTAATTTTCATTTGCATAAAGAGCCAGATATATATATTTAATATCTCTGGCAACTTTTTAAAACTATATCTCTAATTTTTAATTATGTAACAGAGAGCACTGTGTTTAAGAAATTTATTTATTGACGCCACTGGAAAATTACTCATTTTTTGGGACAATGAAGATTTTAAACGTCTTCTTCATCACATTGAAAGATTGAAAACACAATTCAAACTGGGCGTAAAGGGAACTGATAACATTAAATCGATTAAACTTTAAAAGATAATTTCCAACTTATGAAACAAGAGCATTTCTTGCGACTACTACTTCCGGTTTCATCTTGTTACCACTGCTTCGGAAACTTTAAACAAAACAATGTGCTATTATCTCAAATACTAATATCACTATTTTTCACCGACTAATCTCTCAGGAATACATAAAACCATAAAAGATATTTCTTGACACTGGAAAGTCTGCAACTAAATACTTGGCACCACTTCTACGACGATCCGATATGAGTATTATTCGTCTTTTTGATAGTCTAAGAAATAGGTCGAGGCGGAGAACGCCCCCTGCCGAAATTGTTGCCAACTGTAGATTTTTTTATTACTCAAAAAGTCGTTTAACTCAGCACCGTACTGCACCAAAATTTTAAAATGAATTAAGAATTAAATTGTAGGTAGTCCTGAAATAAAATATAATTATAATTTTAATCTTTAATAAA